TCCAGCTTGTCTCGTTCGATTTAGCACTCAACACGTGGTTCAACATTTAATGACATATATCCACGAACAGATAATGATACACTGGTCAAAGACCAGAAGAGCTTATGCGACATTAATGCGTCCGGCGTCCATCCGTCTGTCTGTCTGTCTATAAACAATTTTTTTCAAAATGCTACTCTTCCTACAGTTTTAGTCTGATTTCATTATAACTTGGCACACAAGAAGACTACACTAAGATACAAAATTCTGTGTATCGGTTTTTCATTTCAATGAAAGGTGTTGCCGTGGGTACTAAAAATAAAAAATTGCTGTGAAATTCTTCAAAAATGCTACTCCTCCTACAGTATTGGTCTGATTTCAATATAACTTACATGTAGCACACAAGCAGACTACATTAAGATACCTAATTCTGTGTCTCGGTTTTTGATTTCAATGAACGGTGTTGCCGTGGTTACTAAAAATAGAAATTTCTGTGAAATTCTTTCAAAATGCTACTCATCCTACAGTTTTGGTTTGATTTCAATATAAATTGGCACACAAGTAGACTACACTAAGATACAAAATTCTGTGCATCGGTTTTTGATTTCGATGAACGGTGTTGCCGTGTTAAGTGATGGCTTTCAGCTTTGAAAGACCGATATCAGCTCTTCGTTATTTTAGAATTTTTCCCATTTTTTAAACAGATGAAATTTTTTTTTTTACACAAGATGCTTTCTGGTTTCAAATATCATATTAACGAATGCATAATATTAATCATACTCTTCAAAAAAGTCAAGAAAAAACGATAGATATTACATTTTTTTTCAATATTAAAATCAAACATATCTTTAAATATTTTTAAAACGTGGTATATCTTAATACAAGCTTATTCAGAGAATCTGTGTCTACCACTGAAAAAGCAAATGTGCTAACCTGGAAGGGGCGGCGGGAAGGGTGTCGGGGGGGGGGGCAGGAGGGGTGTAGGGACTTATGGTAAAAAAAACTTTAATTGCAACAACTCAAAAGTTTCTTCAGATATCGCCGGGAAATGAAATTTTTACACAAAAGCACATAGTGTATGACGTTTGACCATAACTTTTTCACATCAAAAGAGGTCTTCCTTAGAATAGTCCTATCCTCAGGTTTATAAAATTAGCAGTTAAGTAATCAAAAATACTCATAGAGGTATCTCTGAATCCACAAAGTTATGTAAATTTATCCACAGTATTTCGTAAAGTTACTATTTAAAGTTAATCATATGATGTAAGGAAAATTGTCAAATCTCCAATATTTTTGCAGAAAAAGCGAATTGGAATATCAGCAATGCATTTTCTAATTGCAAATTGATCAAAAAGTATATTTTAGGTTAAAGAACGATAGGTATCCAGGCATATAGGTATTCAGAGAAATTTTCATGATTTTTATACTTATTTGAAATTTTTGGTCTTCTATTTCCGTCATGTACTCTATAATACATAGTGTAAAAAGCTTTTGCTATCATTGCAAGACACCATAAATCACTTCTTCATTTTTATCTTATTATTATCTTAATATCTTATTTCATATCATGCCAATATGCATTGGTATATAAGGCTTGATTTAAAAAAATCATTTCTCTAAAACTGTATTATTTTTTCTTTTTTATTATTTTACAGATGTCAACTTTTACAAGACATTTTCGAAGACTTCCAAAAACCTTGAATCTTATAAAGATGAATAGAATGAAAATTGTTGCATGAAAAAAAAAAATCATTTTCAAGTTTCATTTTGATGCATTTCAAATAAATATTAATTTTTTGGAGTTATCCTTCCTAGCTGAGGATCGGATATCCTTAAGCCAAAGTGTATTGTGGAATAAAATAACATCACCAAAGTTCAAAGGCTTCTCGGGATATCGTGCGAATTGAAAACATATCGAATTTTTTTTTAATGACCTTGACCTTTGACCTCAAAATCAATAGGAATCATCCCTATACAATATGAAATGGTGGTAAAAATGTCACTGCTACATTGTAAGGCGTCAAGGTTAAACAAGAGAAAATTATTGAATTAATGATCTTGATCTATTGATCTAAAAACCAGAAGGGATATCTTCAGTAGACCATAGGCGCAAGTGTGTAGAATTTCGTATTTAAGTTTTCACGTGGAAAAGAAAGAGTTAAAGATAGGAAAACAGACAGATGGACAGACACGTGTTTGTTTGTAACGATTGTACATTTAAAATGGTTCCTTGTAATGTATAAGTTGATATATCTTCCTTTGTGCTTGATGGTCATGGAAGTATTAGTTTGCAAACATTTTTCATAGTCACACCATGTTTCAACCCTTTTGCAATGCTTTGTGTTTCATTCTTCCACCAAAACATGGCTGAAATATTGCAGACACGGCGTACAAATACACAAAAGTAATCAATCCATTTTAGGTTAGTTGCTTTTCAAATAAACAATGGTTTAATTTACAGCAATGGCATTCAGGTAACAGGGTTATCTCTACGAATTTAAACAGAAGGGCATATTTAAAGATTAGACTGGGGTCTTTTTCCCTTGGAGGATTGATTGATTGATTGATTGATTGTATACTGTTTAACGTCCTTCTCCAGAATATTTGGGGAAGTTTACGAGGAAATCCAAAGACCCACAGATTACATTTGTATGGGCGGGGAAATTCCCAACCCCCCCATCTTGGTACATGTACACCCCTGTTAGATTGTATTGATTTTTGTATTTACACCAACTGTTCAAGTTCATTCGCTTATTTAAACAGCCTTTTAGCTGTGCCAATTCGAACTGCGTCTAACAGCGTTTCTTTCTCCTTTACAGTTCAATGTGTATAAAATAAATTTGCTATATGCTCAATAAATAATAAAAGGAGTGCTTTGGTTTTCGTTTTTTGTTTGTTTGTTGAGAAGGAAATAAGTTTTAACGTCATTATATTGAATTTTGAGACAATGGCCAAGTTAGATATCACAACTCAGATAGGTGTCAATTTAAATGGTATACACCGAAAACACACCAAATGTGCTTGTATTTCTACCAGATGATATGTCATTTCTTGCTAGAATTTTTCAATACAGAACATTTAAAACCCTTTGTTAAAAGGTTTTAAATAATTTGGCTGTCGGACAGGCACTATTCATCTGTAGAAAATTACTTGCACATTTAAAGACAACATTCACCCAAGTGTTAAAGAACAGCATGAATTATCTATTCATTTCTTTAGACAGACACCTACCCTTTGAAAGATTGCATTTTTATTGCAAGAAATAAATTTTATACAAGTATACATTTCATAAATATATATAGAAAATCTCACATAGAAGAACAGGCGCTTTAATTCTTGGGAAAAAGTGGGCTACATTGTAAAGGGTGAAAATATGAAAATAATAAAGAGTTATAATAATTAAAGTAAATATAAATGATTCGGGAACAGGAGTAGAAGGTGAGATCAATTGCCTAGGAAGAGGAAGCATTCCCTGTCGACCAGCGAATCCTTTCCATTGATCACTCAGACGTAGTATACTTAGTAGTCAAATAAGCATTATTTTAGATGCTCTAAAAAATTGCATGAAATATGGGAATCAAAGTACAACCAAACAATAAGTAGTATCTACCAACAATGCCATAAGAGCCAAACAGTCATATCTACCGGGTTCATCTAAATGTTTAAAAAACTTGAGAATTGAATTATGAGAGACAGCAAGACGATTATGCGAATGTTTTCCTTTGTGTTATTAAAAATACAAGCTTTTAAATGAATAGAAGACTTCTTAAAGCGCATGCTCAGAACAACAAAATCACACGATAATTTTTTCTTCTTCTCTGTACCCTAATACATTTACACGCATGCTACATCTAAATACATATTTACATCAATTATAATTCAGCTGTCTTATTCGAAATGTTCATGAAATACAGTATAATATTAGACTGTTTAGTTCAACGAACAGATTAAAATTTTCACCATCATTTTGATTATAAATGGTTCTCTTAAAGTTCTTTACCCAGCCCTTCTAAACAATGTTTTTTTTTTTGGTTTTTATATATACTGTACATAAAAGTTATTTAAAATGTTTATTTTTATTTTTGATCTCATTGTCTTAGGAGAAAAAAATGCTGTTTGAAGGGTTTTGAACAGTTCCTTTTCTGAACTTGATGGATTGCTTTCGCGTTAATATTGATATTCATGATTTAATCATGTAATAAAACTAACCTTTTTAAGAAAAAGGAAGTTATCAAGACATTTCAAATTTTTGGCAGAAACCCTAACAAAGGTAAATCATTGTCAGGAAGGTAATTCACTGGATAAAGGATGACAAAAAACAATTCTTTAAACGTTATATATGTTGCAACTACACAATAAAAAAAATAAAAGAATAATTTTAACCGTAAAAATAGTAATAGTCCCTCATATTTATTGAATATTAATTATGACTGTCGTGAAATACATATAATATCATCATGAACAATATATATTGTTAATATAGGTGATCACATCTACTGGTGCTGTTATTATAAAACATGTCAATAAAATAAATTATTTTATCTTTTTTTGTTTGCCTGGTATTTCAGTGATTTGTTGAAATCTAATGTTAATTTTGTCCACCAACCACATAGAAATCATTTGGTCATTTTTCAATGAAATATTCATACATGTAAATATTATAATTGAACATGTGTGTGTTGAATGTAAATTGGTAATCTTAGAACAAATGTAACCATAGAAGAAATATTTACTTCGAAAATTATAGTATCTGTTTTTTTTTTAACTAACTATACATACAGGTAATTTTCAAGTGATAGAATAGAATCAGTATCAATATTTTAGATTCTCTCCTATAAACAGGTTCACACGATTAAAGTCTATATTAATATGTGCAATGTTATATATATATCGGCTTTCAATACATATCAGTATTAAACACGGATATGTGTAGAAAGCTGTCAAAATATGTGAAAAAGTTAAAATAAAATTAATACTATACGAACGATTGAGTGTATTCAGTTATTATAAGCAGTACTTACCACATTTACGAACGTCCTTGTCTGCGTGCAGCATATTTAAATAATCGGCCAGTGTGCAGTCTATTCATGAGGTTGCTACCACGTGATTTCTTTCTAATTAATATTCAAACGATCCCACAAAAACTAAAATAAACCATTTCTTTAATTCTTAAAATTTAAAGAAGCAATCCTAGTTTGTTTTTAATTCTCATAAAACCCCCGTCATAGTTATATTGTTAGAATTCTTCTGCTCGACAGTTGACAATTTTTAGCTCTACTGGACAGAGACCAGAAGAGCTTATGCAATAGTAATGCGTCCGTCCGTCTGTCTGTCTGTCTGTCTGTAAACAATTTTTCAAAATGCTACTCCTCCTACAGTTTTGGTCCGATTTCAATATAACTTGGCACACAAGTAGACTACACTAAGATACATAATTCTGTGCATCGGTTTTTGATTTCGGTGAATGGTGTTGCCATGGTTACTAAAAATAGAAATTTCTGTGAAATTGTTTCAAAATGCTACTCCTCCTACAGTTTTGGTTCGATTTCAATATAACTTGGCACACAAGTAGACTACACTAAGATACATAATTCTGTGCATCGGTTTTATTTTGATGAGTGGCAAGAATCATTTTTCTATTTATTGCTGATTTAAAGTCTCAAGTCCCAACTGCTACTTTTCTCTTCCTTTGTTATAAGTACAACCCAGTAGAGCGTCAGTCTCGTCAGAGACTTCTGGTTTATACCCGTCTTTTAAAAAAACAAGTAGGTCATACGAATGCGAGTCAAGAGTTTCTGATCCGCTCCGCTCCACATAAATCCTTGACCAAATAGGCTATGTTTGATGGGGTTAGAAATTTGCTCT